GGCCGGTTGAGGAAAGGGGGAGGGGGCGCAGCGGTCGCCCCAGCCGCGTTCCTTGGACGCATCCTCCCAAAGCCCCAAAACCCCCCTGCTGCACCCTCACCTTCCTCGGCGGCGGCTGCATGATGCTGAAGGGACATCAATCCTCCACCGACGGCGGCGTTAGCTAAGACGAGGAGGAGGGCCGAGAGGAGGGGACGGCCCAGCCGGCGTGTGTATGTGTGTGAAAGGAGAGCCTGAGAACGAGGACTAGCCCGGGAGGGAACAAGGCCGGCGGGCGGCAGGAGGACCTGGGTCGGAAGGCGAGTGTGAAGAGAAGGAGGAGGAGCGCCGGGAAAGCCTGGGGCTCTGGCGGCCTGGGGGGTGTGTGAGGGAAGGAGGCGGAGACCGCGAGGGGGCGGGGGCCCGGGAGCTGGGGCTGTCTCCCAGCTCGCCGCTCGGCTCTCGAGGAGCACCCCGCGTCGTCCGGCTCCCCGTCCGCTGTCGGCTCCGGGGCTCCTCACAGACGCGGTCCCCCGCCCCCACTCAGGCAGCCCGGCCCCCGCTGGGCCTGACGCCCCCACCCAGCCCGGGGAGGTGAAGGCGGTGCCGCGCTCTCAGCTTCGGCTCCTCCACTCAGGCCGCGGGAATTTCCGGCCCCACCGCGAGGCGCAGCGCCCCACTCCGGCGGCGGAGGGGACAGCTCAGGCCGGGGCCGGGTTCCAGAGCCCGTGGCCGCGGCGTGGGGCTCCGTATCGTGGCGGGGACGGGGGGAACTAACGGATCGGTCGGCGAATAGGAGGGGCAGGGACGTTAGCAGAGCACGAAAATACCCCCGTCCTACTCGAGAGTGGCACGTTCCAAGCGCCTCCTGTCCTCCCTCCCCCACACTAGGAGCCAGCCGGGGGCTTCCCGCGCGCTTTCCCGCCAGCCTGCCGCGGCGCGCGCCTCCGATCGGGGGCGTGCACGTGGGCGGGAGAGGGCTTTGCGCTGACGCACGCGCACAAGCCGCCCCTACCTCCCGATGGCTTTTGCGACTGCAGTGCTCGTGCGGGGTGGGGGTTCGTGGACGTTCAGAATGAAGTTTTTACAATGAGAAGGGGGCAGTATGCCTGTGACAGTCGGAGAGTTCCTTTTCTTTTGCTTTATTTCGGCCCTCCAACACCCCTCTCTCCCGAGCGAATGGGCCCGGCAGATAGGCTCCAAGGGAGCGAGCATGAACAAGTCTTTTCGCAGCCGACCGCAGGTGCCTGACTGTTGTTGGGGGGCAGGGGGAGTGTCTAGTTTCCCTTTAAAGAAAAAAAAACAAAAACGGCTCTCTACTACAGGGCGTTGGAGTCAAAGAGCATGGACTCTGCAGGAAGGGAACAGTGAGGTCGTTAAAGGCAGGGCCCCCATTTTATAGATGGGGTGACTAGGGCCCATAGAGGACTGGAGACTTTCTGAAGGTCACACAGTAGGACTAGAATCTCTGGATCATGAAGGGTTCTTTGGGTTATAAAGAAACAGGTGCAGACGATCCATTAGGAAAAGTAGAGGAGGCAGCAGAGGCAAAGGAAGCCCTTGTCTAGGAATCAGGAGCTCTGGATGCCAGTCCACTCTGCCGGCCTCTAGTTGGCTAACTGAGCTGGGGCTGCCTCATCTGTCAATGAGGATGCTCATCCAGGCAGCCCCAACCCCACCCCTCACCCCAGTACCTTCCTGCTCTGTCCAGACCACCTGGGGGTAGGGGTATCAGCCTCCCTTGGAGTCCTTAGAAGAATAAAAATCTCTCCTCTGGAGCCACAGGGCTGTGTAGAGGGTGAACTAGAGTGTCCCATCGTTTTGTCAGAAGTTGGCATCTCAGACATCTGTTCTCAGAAGTGTAGTCAGGCAAAACAGGAAAGTGAGTGAGGTCTGTAGAGACCCAAGTAAATTGCTCAAGGCCACATGGCCAGAAATTGGGAAGATGGAACTTGAACCCAGGTTATTTACATTGAGTTAGCCTAGATTCGTGTACAGGAAAGTGATAGAATCAGAGACATGTTTGAATCAGATTTAATCTAGAGCTATGTGTGAACTAGGAGACCAAGCTTGCTATTTCTAGTTTCCTTGAGGCCATTCAAAAGTCAGTCCTTCAACATAGTCCTCAGTTACTATCAGAGAAGGCATGGGGCAAGAGAACAGGTGAATGGAGGCCCATCTTCCTGATAGTTGTGGGTCAATACCTATAGCCCAGGCCAGAGGTAGCCAGGCTGGGCTCCAGTCTCAGCCCCACAACCAATTCATTGTGAGGCCTTGAGTTAGTTCAACTCTTTCAGCCTTTATTTCCTCACTTGTAAAATGGGGATATAATACCAGCCTTGCGGGCTTGTATTAAGTAGATTTTCTCCTACCACAAGACCTGGTACATAGTGCTCAATAAATGCTCACTGACTCATCATTCGTTCAAAAATATTTGCTAAGGTCCTGCTTTGTGCCAAGACTTGTACCGAACACCAGGGATAGAGGAATGAGCAAAACAGTATCAGCCTACGCCTTCACCAAGGCTGAGTTCCAAATCAACCATTCCATGAATGACACTGGGCTAGTCGGGGAGGGGTAACAGTGCTTGCCCAGATGTAGTGTCCCACACATAGAAGGTACCTGAGAAAGATTTGCTGAATCCTAGTCCGGCGTGTATCTAGTCTGGCCCAGAGACTATCCTCCCTTCACCTTCCTCCTCTGGCAGTGAGCACTGGGGGTATAAATGGGCTGGGTGTTCGGAGGCTTGGATCCAGCCTCTACCACTGATATGCTGGGCCTTCTCTGGGCCTTGGTTCCAACCACAGAATAAGGTAAATGAATGAGCCTGGAACGTAGTAGACTCTTCACAGATTAAATCAAACCCTGGGGCTTCACTTATGAATTTAGGAGGGCATCCTCCTAAATAATTTGCCATTATTCTGAAACCAGCAATGGCATTGACTTTCTGGAATAATTTCCTTTGAAGGTGTTACAAAACTAAGGGGCAACACCAGATGGGCTTGCCTATTAACTGCTTTTTCAAAAATGATTTTTAAAAGTATACATTTAATATTTACCACAAGAACTTTCCAAACTCCAAATTTTCATGTTACTTTTCCAAGCTATTCTTAATTGTAATCCTATGGGATAGTATTTTCTTCATTTTACAAATGGGGAACTAGAGGCTCATTAAAAATAAGTGACTTGCCCTGAAGTAATGGATTTGGGACAAGAACCCAGTTCTCCCATTTGCCTCTATGAGGAATGTTCAAAGGAATTAGGAGAGTTCACCCAAGAAAAAAGCAGACCAGACGGATACAATCCATATGTTCCAAAGTCACAGGGATAGGGAGAGGGGTTTCTGTGATTTATGCAAACCTGAATTAAAATGCACATATACCCCTTTAAACCAAGCTGGGGACTTCCAGAGCTTTGCTCCTGCAATGTGGACAAGCACCATGTTACCAGTAAGATCTCTTAAGATTCTTTGGGGAAGATGCCACAGAGCTGTCCCAAGGCCACAGAACAGCATGCACTGTGGCTCCAGAGACAGAACTGGAACAGGTCTCAGCTGCAAGTAGGGAAGGAGGTTTTCCAGGCAGAGCCACCCCTAGAGGGGACAAACTCCCCCATCTCTGGGGCTGGGAAAGCAGGTATTAGTTCATTTCCTTCAAGGAGGCCAAGTATAGGATTCTCACCCTGGGAAGGACTAACAGCTACCATTTATGTTGCCTTTTCCATGTTTCAAGCATTGAACAAGACATGTCATTTACATTGTTTCTAATCCTGACAACAATCCCTTGTGATATATAAGACCTCATTTCACAGATTTCACAGCCTGAGATTCAGAGGTGAAATGACCTGCCCAAGGTCACACAGCTAGGATAGGAGAGCCAGGCCTGGCGCCTGGCTCCCTCTGGCTCTGAAGCTGTGCTCTCCCTCTAGTGTATGTACTGCTATGCAGTCTCCCAGAAGGAAAATGATTCTAAGTTTAAGAACCAGGATGGAAAGCTGGCCTGAAGCAGGTATATGAGTGGGCTTTGGAAGATGAGCTATTCCAATATTCCACAGGGCTCTCAGGAGAAACCCCATGGAGGCAAAGTGTACAGCAGCCCTTGAGCATGGCTAGAACATAAATAGCATCCCACCACAGTCTAGAGTGGGCACCCAGGAAAGGTTGGCACTCCACCCAAGGCTCTCTCCCAAAAAGGTGGCCACCAACTCATCTGCCCATACGGCACCAAGGCACCCTCTCAACCCATCCTGCAACTGGGGTTCACAGACCCTCTACTTCCTTTCCTGCTCTGTCATTATCCCCCATTTACAGATGCCAGTTATTTCCTGCCTGCACCCCACAGAGCCTAGCTGAGCAGGCTGCTGCAGACAATGCAGTCTGTAGACCCCACTTCCATTCACCTCCCTTCTACCCTAGTCACCTTTCCCCCTCCACCTCCATCCCACATACACACACATAGAGGCCTTTGCTCCTACCTGAACTAATCCCCTCAACAAGGTCAGCCTGGCGTGGGAGTATGCCTATCTCCTCCACTAGTCTGCTCTCAAGACAAGAGAATCACAGAGCACTGAAATGAGGCTTTGAGATCTGTGACCAACGGAAGAGGGCAGGGGCTCTCTCCCTAGGACACAAAGTGAGTTTGTGGCAGAACTAGACCTTGGACTCCATCCAGCGTCACTCAACAATCCCCTTATTCTGGGCTCAGTCATAGCAGGTCTCTGGGGTAAGCCCCAGCATGCACGCCAGGAGCTCCCAATCTCAACACATGGACGAAAGGTCACAGCAGTGAATCGAGGACATGCAGGGCCAGGAGAGTCATAGGGAGCCAGATTTTACCAAGTAGTAGCAGGGGTCTAAGGCCAGAGGTAAGTCCTTGAGAGGCAGGCACTGGGGCAGGGAATTATCTGGTCAGCTACTGCCTCTGCCAGGGAGTATTACAACTTGGGGTGGAGATGAAGGTACAGCCAGTTCCAGGGCTTTAATAGGAGCTGGCAGTCACATGGTTTTGACATCAGGAGGCAGACTAGATTCTGGTCCTATTTTTGCCTGGTACTTGCCGAGTGTGACTTTGGTACATTACAAATTCTGTCCTTCTGGGGGGTGGTGCAGGTTAAATGAAATAATGGGTACGTGATCTGTAAGAGGCTGAGGAGCTATGTGAGCAAGTGATTACCCATCCTTGGATAGATCAGGGAAGGCTGAGTGACCAACCGTCAGTGAGGACACTGACGAGGGGCTTCCCACTGGGAGCTGCAGTGTGATCACAACTCTGTGAAACTAGGACCAATGGGTAAAACTGGTTAGGGTTAAGGGGTGATATCACGGGGATTTGGGGTCAGACAAACCTAAGTTAGACGTCCGGTTCCTCCTCTACCTGGCTCTGGCTTCTTTGACAGGGACCTGAAAACTCTTGTCAACTGAGTTCCCTTGTCCATAAAAGGTGAATAATGATTTTTTGCAGGGTTGTGATGGAATTAAGTGGAAATGTTTATATACAATGCCTGCAACCACGCTGGCCCACACATGTAAGTTTCCTTTGTATGTGCATGTGTTTTCCTTCAGTTTCCATTCATTTTGTTCTAGTTTTGTTTGTAAATTTTAAAAAATAAAACAAAAAAGAGGAATTCCCATGGGAGGAGGTTGAGAGCCCAACAACAGTCCTGGGTTTAGCTCCTGACTCACCATGAAGCCCCAGGAAGTCCCTGCCCTCCCTCAGCCTTCATTTCCTCATCTGTAACACCAGGAAGTTTCTCCAAAACCCAGCCTGGAAAGAGAAGGAAGCTATCTATCTGTGAGCCCTTCCATGGAGAGGACCCTTCAGGCTGAGCTGAGGGATAGAGTAAAGCAGGGACCAGGGGAGGGAGATGGAGTTGTGGGAGAGGACCAGCAAAATGGGGAAGTGGCAGCTCTGTAACCCCTGTGCTTCAGCCCATGAAGGAAGCAGATCCACTCACCTGCTGCCTATCTTCCCACAGCCTGCCCGGTTAATGCCAAAACAAAACACACTTGCCTGCTCCCTGCCGTGGGAGGATGGAGGGCAAAAATGAGCATCCTGGAGGACTGGGAGATGCCCTGGCATTGTGCCTCTCCTTTCTGGGCATCTACTCTTCCCCTGTCTGTGGCACATCCAGACACCCCTGTCCTGTGGCCTGGGTGAGCTGAGCACCACCCTCAGCCAAAACTGGCCCAGTGTGTGGTACTCCCCCAGGATCTGCACTCCCCTCTCGCTTTTTGCCCTCCTAAATGGACACCTCCAACACCTAAACCTGCCTGCCTTCCCAGTACAGCCTCTGAGATGTGATCTAATTCTCCCCATGCAGAGAACGTGGCATCAGAATGCTGGGAGCTACTTTCAGTCACTGTGGGAGGGAATTCCCTGGCTCTGGGGAAGCTCTTTCTGCAGAAGCGAGCAGGTGGTGAACCTCCTTGAAGAGACAGACTCCGCCAACGCTGTAGACAGAGCCAATCCTGGGGTAAAAAGCATCAAATTCACCACCCCCAACTTCTCTCTGATGCTTGTCTACACTGGGCACGGGAATAATAATAGCTCATATTTTATAATAGTTACTATGCGTCAGCACTTCACACAAATATTAATTCTCACAACAACTTTGAAGTAGGTACTGTTAGCCTCATTTTACCCTGGGACAGCGGTTCTCAACCTTCCTAATGCCGCGACCCCTTAATACAGTTCCTCATGTTGTGGTGACCCCCAACCATAAAATTATTTTCGTTGCTACTCTATAACTGTAATTTTGCTACTGTTATGAATCGTAATGTAAATATCTTTTTGTTTTCCGATGGTCTTAGGGGACCCCTGTGAAAGAGTCGTTCGACCCCCCCAAAGGGGTCACGACCCACAGGTTGAGAACCGCTGCCCTAGGGTTACACAGCCAATAAGTGGCAAACTGAGATTTGTACCAAATTAATCAGGCTCCAGGGTCTGTGCTGCCACACTGCTACACAAATATGCTGCCAGAAGATGGTATCCCCCATAAAACCCAGGTCCCAATTTGGAATATGGCAAGATGCTTGCCCTAGCATCTTAGAATACAAGCATTTCCCCAAACTTGCCTGAGCTGAGAATCACCTAGGGGCGCTTGTTTAAAGCACAGGGCCCTCAGCCCCTCCCCTGAGGATTCAGCAAGTTTGGTGTAGGAAGAGAGGAAATAACTGACACCTGGAAATTGTCCCCAAAAATATTTGTTGAGTGAACGAATGCCCCTGCCTCCTCTAAGCCTCTATACTCATCTCTAAAATGGGGTTACACCCAGCCCCTTCTCCAAGTATGGCTGTATGTTGAGCCAGTGTGTGTCTGCACCAGCTTTGCTTGGGTGTGGGGAGTTGTTTACCAGCAGACCTGGCTGGCTCCTAATAATAGCTATAATAATAATAGCTAACATTTCTTGCATGCATGTGGAGTACTAGATACAGCTCCAAGGGCTTTAATTGTGTTAACCGGTTGATTCCCACAATACCTAATTATCCTGACTTTAAGGATGTGGAAACTGAGGCTCAGGGAGGTTAAGTAACTTGCCCATGATCACACAGTAAGAAGCAGAACGTGAACACAGATGGTCCTACTCCAGTATCCAGAGGTTAACCACTCTGTCATAGTTTCTGGACTCACCCAGCCCCTCCTCCTGGGAACTGGGCTGCAACAGTTTAATTGAACAAATGGTTAGTGCAGCAGTGAAAGTGGGCCTTGATGTATGGGAGGTGGACAGTACCAGCAAAACCCGCAGGCAAGACGGGTGTGAGCCATGTTTAGGAACAATCCTGGGAAATGAGCCTATGAAGGTGGGCTGTACCTTGGATGTCCCGCTTAAGATGTTTGCTCTAAAATTTAAAAGCGTTCCTCCTTTATGATGTTCGTCATGCTCTGTAATAGGCATGTGTATTGCCAGTCTCACCCACCCTATCTGCGTCCCCTTTCCCATAGGTGTCTGGGAGGAGATTTTGTTTATCACGTAGTATCCCAAACACCTAGAATTGAGGCACCCTGGATTTGAAAACCTAAAGACCCAGGGTTTTACCAGCTGTGGAACATCAAGTGTGGGAAGCCAGGTCACAGAATAGAAGGCCCGTACATCACCTTAAGGAAGGGTGTGCCTGAGGGCCTGCACAGGCTTGTCATCTGTTCATATTCAGCCCTCTGTCCTCACACCCTCTGCTGGGCCTGTGACCTCACTGCTGCTCCTCCCAGGGGGTGGCTTTTGAGTGCATGGACCATAAAGGGGAGGATGGACAGGTCTGAAGGACAAGGCACCTTGAACTGGATCACACTAACTCAAGTGCCTTTTCTCCCTGGACATTGGGCACTCGGCTTGGGGGCTTGGTTAAGAGCTTGAGTCAAATTCTAAGTCAGACTGACCAGTTTGAATTTTGATTCTGCTGCTTTCTAGTTATGTGGCTTTAACTGCATAATCTAATAGATACTGCATGCCTCTCCAATGTCATCTCACATTGGCTCTGTGGCCCTGGGTCCAGCTCTCGCTTTCTGGGCCTCAGTTGCTGTGAATAATGGGATGGTTACCCTTGAAGCACACGTGGCTCTGTCATTCTCTAGTTCTGTACTTATCAAGACTAGACAGTGCTTTCTAGATGGTAGCAAAATGAATGTAAAGGTGAAGCTTGGTCTTTTCTCTCTGAGGCAGGCAGAAAAATCTTCCCCAACCCAGCACTGATCACAGAGAAATGACTGGCTCAAGGCCTTAGGCATCCTCCAGATATTCTATCTGGGTGACAATTTTTCAGGCATATCTGGAGATGCATAGCCTCTCCACTAGCACCTCACCCAGACCCTTGGTCCTGCACTCTGCCCCAGGAGGCTGGCCCCGGTGGGCTGCATCACCAAGGCCTCCTTGTCAACTGGCTTCCACTTGGGTTTGGACAATGAGAAACAACAGGAGACTGGAGGCTGAGAGAAGAGTTTGGGCTATTTGTCCTTCTCCTCCCTCTCTGCTTTGGTGCCTTTCCCACTCTCGCCTTGATCCCATTCCTGCCAGGCAGCCCTACCTCTCACTGGGCTCCAGTAACGTGATTCCTTCAGCCCTAGTCTCTGGGTGGGTGCCTCACCATCCTTTTGTTTGTCCCCTTAAACCTCCCACACCTCAGCACAGCAGTCCTGTCATTAAGTCTCTTCATTTGAACTGTTAGAGGTGAATTGCTTCCTTTGGGCCTCCTGACTAATATAAGACCCTCCACCTGGATTTTGCCTATTTGGCTCAGTCGGGTCAAGACTTCCTCCAGAACAAAGAACCAACCAGCCTCATCTTTGAACAGCTCTCCCATGCACCTGCTCTAGGGTAGCCATGCACAGCCATGCAGCCGTGGTTCATTTGGGGGCCCCAAGGTCTGATACTGACTTGCTGTCACTGCTAAAGAATCCTCGTGGGCAGAGTCAGATGAGAGAAGGGCACCTAGAGCAACGTAATAGTCACTAGTTTGGTAAACCAAGACCACAGAACAAGACATAATTGAAGGAAGAACATGGTGACGTCCCTGCTTGGGCAGAGTGGGTGGCAGGGTTCTAGAAGGCCTGGTCAGGAACCATGGGGTGCTGAAGAGGCAGGGACAAGAGGGAGGACAAGCTCACCTCAGGAACAAGTTGAGCAGAGGCTTGGCAGAAGGATCCTTGAGGGTAGGAGCCAGGGGCAGGGACATGGCAGGGCACACTGTGGGCAGTAGTAGCTGGCTGCCACTTGGCCTCCCTCAGGACACAGCACCTCACCCTTTCCTAGCCTGTAATAGGGCTCCTGCCTGAGAACAGGCCTCCCACATTCCCTTAAGCCATCTCACCTCCCTCGAGGTTGTGTTGCCTGTCACCCAAACTTTCACTTCCCTTGCTAGCCACACCTGCCCAGACCACAGCCAGAGCAGGGCCCACGTTTCAATTCTCATTTCCTTCACACTTCTGTAGGCTCCTAAAAAGTTTCTATTTCTTTAAAAACGTGTTAATTTCTTGACAGGGGTTGGGCCTGACACTGACCTAGGTATCCTCAAGCCTCTGTCACTGCCTCCTTTGCCATCATTCCTGCCTCTTCCCCCGACCTGGCTCTCTCCTAGCCTCTGCCCTCCTGGCAGCTAGAGCAAGCCTTCTACCACGCTATTCAGACCATGCACTCCTCTGCTCAAGACCCTTCCATAGGTCCCCCTGCCCTACAAATTAAGCCTAAGCTTTTTAAAGTGACATTCTAGGCCCTTCACTGCATGACTCCTGCTGGTCTACCCAACCTCACCTCTCAGTCTCATCATTTTAGGGTCCCTTTGTGCCAAACACAACATATTTATATGCACTTTTCAAGAACTCATCAGGTTCTTTCAGCAACCTCACACTTCTGAATATTCTGCTTCCTCTGCCTTTGGCCTTTTCTCCAATTTTCTGCCTAATAAACTCATATTCACCCTTCAAATCCCAGCTCAGAACCCCTGCTTCTGTAAAGCCTTTCTCCTTCCCCCCAGGTCAGAATTAGTGCTTCTGCCTCTGGGTCTTTACAGCTTTATTCATGTCTTGATGACAGCACTAAGAACAAGTTATTTAGTTATATCTTTTTCTGAACTCCCCTTCCTTTCAAGTCTCTGGCCCAGCTGGACTGCTTTTTAGCAATGCAACCTTGGGCAAGCCACTTAACCTTTTCAGGTGCTCTCCCTGAGCCCCCAGACTGGACTAGGTGCCCTCTGTAGAGAGTTTTCAGCACCTATACATACACTGATAATCATGATTATCCCATGATTCTATACCTCCCACCAGGCTGTGAGTCCCTTACCAGCAAGGTAACAGGCCAGGTTTCTTGTAACCAAATTGTCTCTATATCCCCAGGGCCCACCATTCCAGAAATTCTTATGACACAAATTTAACCCAAACTCCATTTTTGCAAATGGGGAAACTGGGCCCCAAGAGGCACAGAGATTTGCCCAAGGTCATGAACCAGCTTCAGAGTTTTTTCCTTGTCCCTCCCCAAGTCCTTGTGCCTGCCTACTCTCCAGGGACCTCCCCCAGCCTGGGCCAAGGCTCTGGACCAGAGAACAGGCCTGTACCAGGCCTCACCTGTTGCTGTCCCATGGGTTTTCAGGGTGGAAGCTGCCAGACGCCTAGACAGTTTTACTTCCCTCTTGGCTGCAGAGCACTGAGAACAACTGTCAGATCTCAGGCACTTCCGTTTCACTCAGAGCCAGGCTTCCTTTTCACCCCCTCTATAAGCAGCAAGCAGACCAAGGGCCACAGTTTCTGTGCCAGCTCTTGGGGAGGTTTTTTTTTCTGCTTGGGGGCCCAGCCCAGACAGCTTGGGTAATGGACTCCCCCTAAGGAAGTCTCCACCCTTGGGGGTTTGTGGCAGAAAAGCCTGATTAACCAAAACCTCAGGAGATAGAAGTCTTGACTTTGATGAAATCTCATTTGACCTGTATAGTTGG